CTCTGCCACTTACTCAAATAGCTGTGCCCAAAAGACAGGGAAAAGATTTCAGAAATATCTTTAAAATATGTGTTAAAATAGAAGACAAGCAGCCTTATTCTATTTTATTGGCTGTTCAGTATTAATGTGAATCTGAAAAATGTAACATTAAGCTCGGCACTGAATGCCGGCTACAGGAAACACTTTGAAACACGCTGGTGGACTTGATGGGGTTTCAGCAGACTGTCAGCATTTCCAAGACCTTTAATTCCTGGAGTTTGTGACTCAACAGTAACAGAGTAGGTGGAAAAGCAGATCTTTTGGATGACAGGTCATGGGTGATGCAGGATGTGTCTGAGGGTGGTGTTTGGCTGGATTTTGGGAGGGCAGTAATTGTTCCCTGTCAGTCAGAGGGTGTTGAGCAGGGATGGATTTCTGTGCTGCAGGGTTCACATGCAGATGTTTTCTCTCCACAGCTGGAGCAGTGAGTGCCCTGCCAGACCTTGGGGAAGGCAGGATTTATGGAGAACTGTGCAGGGTCTCGCCAAGGGGGTGCAAGGTCCTTGCCAAGGGGGTGCAGAAGCATCAAGCCAGCTCTGTTGGCAGCWCTCATCCTCCTCACATCTCCATTTCAGCTCTCCACATCTGCCTGCAGCTGGATTCTGCAGATGCAGGGYCTTGCTCAGCAGGAATAACCCTGTGTGCTCCCTCTGGCCTGAGCTGGACCGAGGACAAGGCACAGGTTACAGCTGCCACTGTCACCACAGCAGCTCTGCCAGCCCCTTCTGCACTCACCAAGATTATAATGCCTGAGTGTTCAGATTTAAATGGGAAATGTATGGCCTTAAAGGAGATGTTGCACATAATTGAATGTAGAAAAATAAGCCGTAAATCTGCATCATATGGGGGCTCATTACATTTGTTAATCTGATTTCACTGTTGCCTGCTGCCCTGAACACATTTTCCAGTTAATCCCTGTCTTCAAGATTGTATATATACAAACTTATAAAGCTTGTTCAAATTGTAAATTCATTGCAATAGTGTCTATCTTATCTTGATGTGTGGATATAGCATTTATCATGATGGGGCTCAAGACTTAGAGCATTCTCTCATTACTAATTAACCACTACAAAATTGTCTCAATACCTTTGCATAAAGGCTGGAGTATATTATATTCACTACAAAATTAGGTAGGAAAGTACTAATTTTGTAGTACTCTTCCAAGATGGATTTTTCAAGTACAAAATAATCACTGTGGGAAAATTCTAGGGCTGTAATATAGCCCACATCAAAACAATGGGTAGTAAGAAACAAAAAAATTCCCAAGAGCAGTAGATCTGACATAGATTTGTCCAAGAATATGCCAGTGGCTAAATCTAATCCCATTTAAATGACACTGATTTTACATAACTCTGTATTCATGGGCACACATTTCAGAACAATTTGCCTTTTATGATTATTCTTAGTTGTGTTTCTCTTGATGGATATTGAAAGCTGCAGCAGTCTTTATGTGTTTGCTTTATTGTTTATAATGGACTTAAAGAAACCCACAAACATTGAACAGCAAAGGCTTCTGCCCTATAATTTTGATTTTCTGAGAGACTCACGAGGATAGTTGTGCAATTTTGTAAAAAAGTTGTTTAATTGATTTCCTCCTTTCCAATTAAAAAGGACAAAGAGAGGGAGTTTGTGACTCTGAGCCAATTTCATTGATGTATAGAGCATAGCTAATATCAATCATTATTGAGGTCCTGATTGTACCATGTGTTTTCTCACAAACACGATTACAGCAAGCTCATTTGCATTGCTAAATGAATGCTAAAAATACCAAAACTTTTTTTCCCTGCTGGCCAGAGCATAGCTGATTCAATCACTAAAATACAGATAAACAGAAGTAACCACTCTGATGAAAGCTGAGAGGATAAAGCACAATATGGATAAGAAATCAGTCATTTAGCTCCTAGTAYGCTCTCCAAAAGAAGAACCACAAAGCTCCAAGCTCCTGTTTAAAAATCACACCAATCTATCTTGGAAGTTTTTGTGTGGCAACAGAAGGATCTTTAACAGCTTTACATTATCCTTCATACAAAATTTATCACAGGACGTGTTGGTAGCATGTGCTAAGGGACTGAGCTGCAGCTGATGTGTGGGAAAAAAGGATTCCTGCTTTCCCTGGCAGGACTGATGGCTCTGGCTGCAGCAGGAGCTGTAAGTGGTTTTGCTGTGCTAGAGGGCAGAGTCTGAACAGCCCAGCACTGCTGACAGGGTGGCCTTGAATTCCTTCTCTTCCTAATCAGAGTCTGCACAGATGGACTCACTTTKTCATGGATGGAATCTGGGTCAAATATAGAAATAATGGAGATTACTTGCAGGACAGTGTTTGTTCCAGGTCTCCTCTTGGGGCAGGTGCTAGAGCAGTGAGGCYACCAGAGGCAGCCCATTAAATCTGTTGGTTTTTAAATTAATACACTTTGAATAGTCCCTTGCTTTCCAGCTCCCACCAAAACTGTAAATGTACCTGTCCAAAACCTCCAAGCTCTTCCTCTGCTGGCAACCACCTTTTTCATAGCAGAAGTGTTGGCACACCTGACCACGTGGTAATCAGAAAAATGCTTTGGGTCTGATTCAGCCAACTGCAGCTTCTCATTGCAGCCCATTACACCAATATTTAGGTTTAGTTTAAACTGTCAGAAATAAGTTTGAAATTGTGATCATATGTTCCTGCAAGCAGAAAATATCTGAATGAATGGAATTGATAGATCAGTGCCTATTATTTCCCCTGTAATATACTTAGCTGTCATTTTGAATAATGTGCCAAGACCTACAACCAACCCTCCAATCTCTCAAACCTACAGGAAAATCTTCTGGAAATACTACATTAAACATTTTTGTCAAGACTACAGATGAAAGGAGCCATTTGAACTTTATGACAGTTGGTAATTAAACATTTACAGTACTGTGCCAATATTTAATATACAATGTAGAAGGAGCAAACTGAACAGAAGGTAAATCTGGCAGAGTTTAACATGGAGTGATGCTGAGGGAATGTGCRTGTGTGACCAGAACTGCAACACCACAGAGCAAAAGGCACTGCAATAAACTGTGCTTTTCCAGCTGTGTTAGAYTTCTTCCTCTCTTCCCTGGAACAGAAATGAGAAAAAATATTTTTATCCTTTAAATGACTTGGTGAAACCAGATGAGACTTTGGGAGTCAAGATCGCTGTGTGCTTTTGCAAGACAATAAAGCCGTATAGAATGAGTCCCAGGGAATTTCTTCAGGTTTTATGACTGTCCTGTTTTCTTTTTGTCCTCCATCTCACTGAGTATATTGTAAAAACCYTCTATGTTTTATTTAGGACTTCCCTGTTTTCATTTCTGCTGGAACACAAGAGTATGTTTGTGTATTTTCTTTTCCCTGTAATACCACTTCTACATTTAAGGATGACAACTGTTTAAATCTCTCTTGCTCCCATTGARTAGAACAGAAATGTTCCCATTTTTTCATAAGGATTGCAACTTGACAAATTGTCTGTGCCATCACAAACAAGATTCATCTGACTAAATGTCAGTGCACAATGTGCATGTCCACATCTGAGCTGTGTGCACTGATGTTGTACTCCTTGGAGGCAGAGCTACTGGGGGAGYCATCTGCTAAAACAATCAAGACAGGGAAAGTGCACCACATCCTAAAAGCATTATTTTTTCTTTTTTTATCCCTATTTTTATCCCTATTGAGCCTGGATCCAGCTAATTCATTTTTCTTATGTCTAAAACAGGAGAGACAAGTCTCAAACAAACGTTTTTCAGATGTGTTCCCAGGCTCTGTGACTTTTCATATTGTATGTGTTCTGTCCCCACAAATCACATTCTATTAAAAATAACCTCCCTTTGTCTTCTACTGCACCATTATCAGAGCTTTCCAAGGTAAGATAGATCTTTGGAGCTATGTTGGTTGAAAGGAAAGATGAGATGAGAGTGTAAGTGTTCCAGAGAGATGGTGGAAGCCCCATCCCTGGAAGCATTCAGGGATATATTGGATGGGGCTCTGAGCATCCTGATCTAGTTGAGGGTGTCCCTGCTCACTGCAGGGGTGTTGGACTGGATGACCTTTAAAAGTCCCTTCCAACCCAAACCATTCTATGATTYYCTGATTCAACATTGGGTCTCCATGGTACAGCTGAGGGCGTTCACTGGTCTGTGTAATAAGTTGACATAGATAATTATATGCAGCATAAGGTGCAGCTTGCAGTCAGGGGAAGTGCCATGGACTATGGATGAAGGGGATTGGAGCCATGATTTCATTTGTTTTTGCAAGCAGTACAGTTGTTTGAGAAATGATTTTGTGGCAACAAGYGTGAAATTAAAGTGTCTGAGCGAGCTTGCATTCATGCACAATACCCTGTGCAAATATATTTAAGAAGATGCAATCTATTGAATAACCAGGCTCCTCTCAAAAACAGCTCAGTAAAGCACTGGCAAAGACAYCCAGCAACAGCCTGATCAATATTTGCAAATATTTGGTAGAATCCAGCTGCTAATTAAATCCTATCTGCAGTAAGCTACTCCAATTTTTAATGCAGTCACTGGTGAGCTCCTTGCACTATGCAGACATTTCATTCTATAAACTTGTCATTCTATAAACCCAGAATCCTGAGGGCTGTGTGTGCTCCAGCAGGCAGTGCAGCCAGGCAGGAGGGGCTCTGCTGACCTGACATCCACGTGAGCCACGTTTGGGGAAGCTCCATCTCAGATTTTGTCTCACCTGTGCCTGTGGTCTACCGGTCCCAGGCTGGGCAGATGGCTTTAAGTGCTCTCTTGGAACACATATCTGATTTTGTGTCCCCCAAAAAGCATCTGATTTGGGTGCTACAGTTTGTACCAAAGGGCACCGGGGCTGGAAGGTTGAGGCATTARCTTCAAAAATGCCTTCCCAGCCTCAGTTAAAATGCTAGCACARTGGCATCCCATGTGGTTGATGCACAAAATCACCAGAGTAATTCCTCTTGCTCAAAATAACTGTAATCACAGAAGAGAAATCAAATCTACAATTGCTTTTTTTCTTGTTTTTCCAGYTGGAAGATTTTAGATGGAAAATCTTAGTAAATTACTTGTTCTCCTTGTCTCTAGTCTATATCATCTGATACATCATCAATCTTGCAAATATTCACTTGTTATATTTACCTAATAACATTAATTTCTGTAAGATTACATAAATAAATAAAATATATTCTTTCAGTTYCAGATCAAGGTCCAAGATCACAATGCATTTTGATTGGAACAGAACAATTGATGTTTGCAGAAACTGTCTGAAATATTATTCACTTTGGTCCTTCCCAAGGGAAATAAATAKTTTTTTTAAAAAATAATTATAAGAAAGGATGGATATGAAATTGTTTATTCTGGGCAATGAAATCTGCCCTCTTATGACCAGAAAATTCTGCTCTTTTGCTTGATTCTGTGATTATTTCAGTCTATGACCAAATTAAACAAGTAGACCAACACCATGCCYATGACAGATGTAAAATCTTTACCTTTATACATTTTTTAACTGATGTCATCAATAGGAACACCATATCATTTCATGGAGTGATAAAAATCTGTATTTGTGAAAAAAWTGTGACCAAAATTACATACAACATGAAACAAAATTTAAAAATTCAATTACAGARAACTTTTTGTAAAAGATAGAATGGAAACAATGCAGTAAAAATAGATTATTTCAAATAAAATGTTTTTCACTTTCAAAAATCTAACTTACTTGCTTTAAAAGGTTGAAATGAAATTTGCTTACAGGTGGTATCCCTTMAAAATAAAAGCACAATAATAGACAGAACAAACATGCATTTATTATCAAAATGTGGATGCACAAGCTGTAAAATACCATAAATGTCTGGAATTTTGGGTGCTGTTTAAAATAAAAGGATTTCATGTCAGCAATATTTTGACTGAAGTATGTTTCTTTCTATTCAAGGTAGTTCCATCCAGAATAGATCCATGAAAACAGAGACACATGTAACTTCTTCACAGTTTATAACACGAAACTATGGATCTGAGCAAATTCTTAWTTTTTCAGCTGTCCTTACTGAGCTGCTTTTCAACTCTGGCTCAGTCTATTGTTAAAATAAAAAGGTCTTTCTTTGCCATGGTTATCATACATAACAAATGTGTCTGATCCTGCATCCACTAAAGTCACAAGCAAAACTTTGACTTGGCCAAGGTCACACCTTTTACTACAAAGCAGAACACATGATGTTAAAGAACAATGTGAATACACTGCAACTTTTTCAAWGAGTTTCAGGTATTTAAATGAAATYATTCARTGTTTGGCCYATTTGACACTCATGTATTTACATCATGTACATCTGTTATAAACTCAACAGCAGGTGCTTAGAAACAGCTGTGTCCAGCAGTTTCACAAAATTCCAAACTGGACTGTTTTAATTAATGGAGACAGTGAGGRTAATGTAAAGCCTTCAAGATAAAGCTGGCCCCAGTGTAACCTTGWCTCTTGCAAATATCCAGGAACGTGGCAATCTTTGAGAGGCTGCCTAATGAATTGTTTCAAGTTTTCTTCCAGGATTTTGAAAACAGAAGTCACACTTACTTAAAAAAAACTGTATTTTGTTGCTGATGGTCACTTTCCCAGTGGCAGAGCCAAGAGCAGAGCAGAGCTGTGTGTGGAAAATCTCAGCCGGTGTGCCGTGTGGGTTTGTCCTTGGCTGGGGATCCTGTTTTTGGGTCAGGTGCCCCAGGATCCAAGGGGTGCAGAAGAAGGGGTGCACAGAGGGGACCTTTCCTCCCCCTGKCGCTGTGGGAGCATGGGAGGCACTCATTAACTGCTGCAGCCTCTGGTGCAGCCGTGTCCCAGCAAATTGTTGTTCCTCCCATCCTGGAGCTTCTCRTGGCTCTGAAGGGACGCTCTGCTGTCAATGCTGGCAGTCTGTCCACTTGGGTCCTGCTGTCTTCTTAAYCTGCCAGAGGTTAGAAACATGGACAGAGCTGTCATGTGCAGGTATTATGGGAAGGGCAGCTGCTGCCTGCCCTGTKGACAGCCACACACACYKGGGTGTRAAACAGATTCCTGCACCTTGTCACCTGTATTAACTGCTTGAGCKTTGTAGATGCCATTTCTCTAAACATTTGCGATTGCTTTCTCCTAAATATGTGCAATTAGGTCCTGGACAAATCCTCCTCCCCTTAAAGCCTACCATAAACAGCCAGCAGAGGAGAGTGTTTTCTCTGGCTTTGGCACCTCTGCTCAGACTGTAACTTGGTAAAACCTCCAGGTAGCTTGAGGCTGAGGAAAGCTGTTGGCTGGGCACACAACAGCTGCTCTGCTCTTTTGTTCTACAAATTTATCAGTAACCTTCACCAATAAAAGGGAGAAAACCATGAGATGAAAGTATATTCAGTATTCCTCTTGTTATTACTTCATACCTTTTCAAAGCCTCATAAGTGGTTTCAAGAAACAACTCAAGACAATCCCATATTGTTTAAAGACTGCAAAGTCTTCTTTTGACATAATTTTCTAGAGAGCAGCAGCAGTCCTAGAAGMACCTGCAGTCCCCACCCAACTGTGTTATCATAGAGATCTTTAGCATTTCTGCTCAAAAGTCATGGCAATCTCTGTGATTCTACTGTGATTCATTTCATATTCAGTGTTTTCCTCCAAACACAGACAGTGTAAGTTCTTTCAGGACAGATGTAAAGATTCATGGGGAAACTATATGGTAGGGACTTTTTTATTTTTTGAAAGATGAACAGCTACAGTTTTGAAGGAATTTTTCTCTGACTGTTTCTTTTTTCAAAATGGGAAATAGTATTCCTGAAAAGGCAMCAAGACTTGACACCAGAGGAGTTTGCACCAGAGACACTATGGAAGAGCTCTTTGGTAGAGTAATTATAAAAGGTATGTATATATATATATATACACTCAAAAAACCCCCAACTTTGCAAGTAATATAGAATACCTAGAAAATAATCATTAATGGAAAAGCATGTAAAAATCCAATTTAAAGGGTCAATTTCTAAATCTAAAATACTTCCAGGTGACAAAAAGAATATGGAGTCACCATACTAAACACTTAGAGAAGAATGTGAAAGGACGTGCAAATACTGTAATAATTAAACATAGGAATAGAGAAGGCTGTTAAAGCACAGAGTATGAGAACATTGTCCAAAAACTKAAGTTTAGAAGGGCAGACACATTAAATAAGAAACTGTAAGACAGACTGAAAAATAATAAATTAAAAGAACAAATTGCTAAATGCATTTACCCTAATGGTGATTTTTCAAGCACACCAGAAATTCAATATTTACCATTGAGTCTACAGATCAATGTGTGACTGAGTTATTAGAGGATAGCACAGAAAATATGAAACCCCAGCTGAAAATCCATTGAATTATCTTCATCAATGTCTATGACAAATGAGCTTAGGAAGAATCCTTTCCTGAATGATAAATTTGTCCATTGGCTCCAGTTAAACCATCAGAGAAACAGCTTTAAAATCAGTTGCTTAAATTAATGTTAGCAAAGCATGAAGACAATAGTTTATCCAAGGACTCTAAGAAAATTGAAATATATAATTTTACACAGCTGAATGGAGAATGTAACTTACTCTTCAAATGGTCTTGGCAACAATGAAGACAGCAAATGTGATGACTTTGGTTTAAGTTGGTTTCAGGTGCTCTTTCGTTTGCTTATTGGTTTGGTTATTTTTCAACAAAATCTTCAAAATATCCAAGAGACTACAAATATCTCAGGATCAGAGYTGCTGGGACAAGACTAATGTATTTGTAGGCATTGGAAGAAAAGACTACAGTGTTTGGAAACTCCTGTTGCAAAGTGTGGGTGGCAAACCTTGCAAACTGCTGAACAGAGGAGTCAGACAAATTTTGTCTCTATAGAGGTCTGAGGAATCCTTGCATTGGTCTAAGACACACAATTAAATTGTATATTTCCTTTGTAAAATGCTGAAAAAGAAGGCATTTACTGCACTGCTCAATTTAAAAAGAAAATAAGAATTCTCTCAATAACAACATGAAGCAAGAAAATCCTTTTTTTTTTTTTTTGAGAACCACTTGAACTGGCACAAAGGCAGCATGCATGTAAGGAGGGCAGTGGAAAAAAGAGAGAAATAAACCCCATGCTGAGTTCAAAAGATACCTCTGGCCACSCACAATCTGTTCACTCGCTACAGAGGTGGTTAATATTGATGATTTAATTCCATTATTTTCTTTTATCCTGTTTCTAGTCCCCAGGTATACTATTGAAACATAATTAGAATTTGGGGATTTGGAAGTGCTAAAGAACTACGTTGTTTTAGTAGTGCTTCACTATATTCCTTTTTCAGACATTTTCTGTGTCTGTATCTAGTTCACTATCCCTATTCCAAACTGTTAAAGTAAACAATGGGTTATTAACCTAATGATGAAGTAAAAAAATAATTGCTGTTTAACTATTTAATAATTTATCAATCACTGTATTCACTTATTAAAATTACATTAAGGATTTCACTCTAGGGGTTTAGGTATTGTGGGCATACAAARCCAATTTACCAGGGTACTCTTGGGGCTGGGGAATTGGACTAAGAATCGGGAGAGGCTGATTCTGTTTCCATCTCTGTCACCCTTTGGACAAATTGCAGCACTTTTCTGAGTCTCAGCTTCTCTGATCAGATGTCAAGGCARCTGCTGTCAAGAATGATGGAAGCTGAGAACTTTGTGTCTCTAAGTGCTGGTCTGTGTCTCACAGACCTGAATGAAACAGGGAATTACAGCCTGGTGTCTGTGATGATCAGAAAACAAGGTGGCATGTATAATCAAGCAAAATGTAATTATACTGCATGAAGAATTATGAATGTGTGCATCATTGGATAYATAAAAATACAAAAGCAAAGAGAAGAGACTGGCTAAAAGCTAGCATGGAAAATAAAATATTGAACTGAAAAAGACTGCTACAACTATGRCAGACTGGAATGAAAATCACAAACATCTAATTAAAACCAGAAGCAAACTTGGGACCACCAGGGAATTGCTTAGAGCTCAGCTTTGTTCACTAGATGAAGAAGAATACTGAAGTTTGTCTTTAGGCTGCTTAGTAGGGTAAGTTCAATGACAAAAGGATGAAAAGTTGCAGATTCAACATAACTGTCAAAAATTGCAGGCTTGCTAAGAAAAAGACCTCCTCCCAAACCACTGCAATTTCAGAAAAAAATAAAATAAGACAATTGGTTTGTGTTTTCTCTAGCTCAAAACTGCAGACTCAGGTCAAGACACAGAGAAATGTGTGTGCACAGTCTCTTCAGTTAAAATATTGGAGTTACAGAAGTGAAATTTCTCTCTTTTTGGTGCACTCTTGATTCCTCGGCATCAAACCCAAAGCCCTTTTCTGACAGATGTTCTCARCTTTTAARAARTRTGAGTACCTTGACACGTTTCCTGTAAKCATGGCAAAATAAATGCAGTCTGGGCCATTCTGTTCAAAAATGGCACTAGTGCAATAAATCATTTCTAGGAAGCTGCTCTCCATTGAATGACTTATCTTGCCTTAAAGCTGATGCAGCTACAGGCTGTGATAACTTGATAAAGGTGCAGGGAGAATGAATGGCTTGATGGAAACTGTGGTGGATCTGAAGCAGGTACCTGGTCCTGTGCTGAGTACTATTGGCCAAGAATAAAAAATAAAATGGCCAGCTGTAGATGAAAAGGTGAATGAGTGATTCTAGTGGATATTCTCATGGAATAAAAAAAAAAAAAAAAAACCTGCAGGGAAAAGAGGATGAAAATCAGTTTGAACAGTGTCTGTTACATTTATTCCATGGTAGTTCTGTACAAATACTTAAGTAGTCTCAGAGGCAATTATGCTAGGAACTAAGAGTGGTTCTGCTGAACCAACAAAGWTATCCTTCCTTTCACTGTTAATCCATRCAATATTGATGGTGTGTGACACTGAGCATTACACAAACTCCTCTCCAGCAGCGAGGAAGAGAGAGACTGTACCAGCAAGTACAGGAAAACATCAAGAACAGTAACTCCACCTCCAGTGAAATATTAGGCTTTGTCAGTATTTCTGACTGTGAGCCATGAATTGGTTTTTAAAATTCTTATTTTCTCAATATTCAGCTATTACAGTAGAGTTCCTGCAGCACTGATTTCTGATGCTGGATCTTGAATCTGATACAGGTTGGTGGAAGGGAATTCAGGAGAGAGGGATAAATTCTAGGTCCAAAACCCCTAGAGCAGTATACAGCAAAGGCATCAGGCTTTGCAAAGTGTAGTTTCTGTGTTTGAGAGCCGTGTGGAGGCTGTCACACTGCCTGTCACTCTTGTCTGTCTGCTTGGTGCATGTTCACACCTTTGTGCAGCTGATGCACTCCTCAGCCCATCCTGCCAGGCTGTCAGGGTAAAACTGATGTCTCAGAGGTGTATTTCAAACAATGCTGTTTCAAACAGAGTTGTTTCAAACCGTGGCCTGCTCTCAGCAGCCATCAAGAGAACAAAAGAGACCTTCTACTGACAAAAGACACCTCAAACCAGGAAAAGCTTCCCCACACTTATCACATCCTAAAGGGAACACATTTTATTCTGAAAAAGCTACAAGTGAGCTTGCAAATCAAGTGTGWTGGGTGTGGAGGAACCAAAACAACCTGAGTGGGCAGTGGATTTGCTTTGCCATTTCTAGATTTAGATTTTTACCATGGTCTCTTGATATTTCAGACGCTTTGCTGAAGAAAATAGATGCCTTTGCTTTTGGTTTGGAGAAGAGAAGAGCATAGTAAGAGAAACCTTAGAAACTGCAGKTTTATTGTAGGAAAAAAGTCTATTAATGAAAACTTTTGCATCCCTTGGGATAAGTCCTGASGGGCAGATAAATCTGTGGAATATTTATCCCAGTTATTCTTCACAAGGGAGGGGGTCTGAGATTAGAACAAATGAGGCATGCCTATGCTGGCTTTTTGAAATTCATGAA